TGGTCTTTTTTCAACTGTAGCTGATTTATGATGTATAGAACTGTTAGAGAGTTTTAAATAGAAATAAATTAATTCTTTATTATTTTGGAATTTTTAGTAGTTCTCTAATTGGTTACAGTCTTCCATAAAACACTCAGTAGATTAATAATTGCCTACTCAAATTTGATTACTGTTTTCTGACCACTTAAATGCACTTGTAACTACTGAGATCTGTTAAAAATCCCTATATAATTTCAGAAATGGCAATTAATGACCTGTCATTAAACCTCAAACATCAATTATACATTTACATTATTCATTTTATCAGCTCTAAGAAAAGTCATGGATAATATGCAACTTGTTTGACCAATGTGAAAATGCTGGGATAACATAATTTTGGAAATAAAACGAATTCATCCTACTTTGGGCTTCGAATCATTATTCATGATTAGAAATAGTGAGATAAAATGGGAGGATTAAGGGAATGGATGAATGTAAATTTATAGTTTAAAAAATTATGTAACGACCGAAGTTCCGTTGTGGTGTGTGCTACTTATATTGACATAAGTAGTATATGATGTTAGTCGTGAACAGGTCTGGCAGCAGAGAGACAAGCGGATCGAACAGTAAAGAATGAAAACATGATGCAATTTGTATGAAAATGCAAGGACAGTTAAGTCTGAGTCATTTTGAGACAATTGGTGGACATTTTGCAAATTAACCATTTACTTTATGATTGTTAGATTTTATTAACAAGTCCTGTAATTTTGTGTCAAATAGATTATTTTGCTATATCAGAGAAATAGATTTATAGCACTTTCTTTCTTTGTAAAGAAATCAGTTCAAAAGTACTTAGTGACAGTGATTTCTTCATGGAAGAGTAAAGGAGGCTTTCGTTGCTTAATAATCATACTGAACACCTTTGTCGATGCCGCTTCAATCCTTCATTCAAAAGATTTGGTTATCTAATTTTGAAAATTCCCATATTGTGAATTACAACATCGCAAATAATGAGCGAATAATATTGTTTTCAATTAAATCCTCATCAAGGTTTACTCGAATATACAATAATATCTATATACATAAATGAAATTATCAAAACAATCAAGGCAGTTTATGAGTCAATGATAATAATAGAATAGATTACACAAATAAACATAAGTGAAAAGTACAATTTTTTATTGTGATGACAGGTGTACTAGTCGTGATAAGAATAATAAAGGCTTGAATCAATGTTTCATAATAAGAATTAGGTCAATGGCTCGAGAAATACAGACACTGAAATAACATTCATTAAAAATGATAAGATTTGGTGATAAGATGTATTTAGATAATCGGACAATGAAGAAAAAATGGTGGCTGAAGAGAAATGAATGAACAAAAAGCATGGAAAATCATAAATAAAATCTTTTATTAAGACTAATTCGGTCAAGGAAGAGACGAAAGTGGCGAATTTCTTATGAATATAGATATTTGGGTTGTTAACTTTAATCCCTATAGCTTCTGCTATATGTAAGAGATGAGATCTGACCCCATAAGGGAAACTAATAGGGATGCGATAAATCACTTTAAATGACCTATATCCATCTGCTACATGACCGCTCCCGATCAAGTGTGATAGAACAGAGATGCGTATTGTCTTCATGATACCCTTTCATAACCACGAAGGGAGGTGTTCAGTAACTCGTTGACTCAATTGTCTGGTTGTGCGCCCCATATAGTTGAATTAGTAGATATATATGGATGTGGCAAAACCATGTAACTTATCCTTTATTTGATGAATTCCAATAGTTCGATTGAAGAACGATATACAGAGGTTAGCTGCATGAAATTTTCTCTTCGTTTCTCTGATCAGTCTATCTCGTAGAATATCACTAGATATCTCCATTGAATTGTAGCATCATGAAGAAAGGTTTCTTACTAACCGCTGATTTCACTACTTTCCTGTTCATTACGTGCAAGTGTTTGTTCAGAAAACCTGAATAATGCATTTCAACCAACGTATTATAAATAAGCTCTAATTCGTTGTTTACAGTGTCATCTGAACATATCTTCCTCGATCTACTTGCAAGACATCTAATCAGGTTTCTCCTACAATGTATGCGTACAAAGTTCGAGAAATGTGTGTATTGGCTTGAGGACGAACTTTTTTACTCACACTTCTACTGACAGAACCACGTCCTCTTCTGTTTAACACAACGTTGAGGAAATGTATCTTATTATCAAGTTTCGCTTTATATGTAAATTTTATTGCTGAGTGATTATTACTAAATAGTTCTAAGAGTTCTTTTTTAAATGCTCTGACAAACAATTATGAAAGTTTTTGGTTGAGATCATGAATCAATTGATGTTAGACCACCGTTGGAAACCTGGAAGCACTGGACGGCCGTTTCGTCCTAGTATGGGACTCCTCAGCAGTGCGGGATCGTGGATGCGCACTGCTGAGGAGTCCCATACTAGGACGAAACGGCCGTCCAGTGCTTCCAGGTTTCCAACGGTGGTCTAACATCAATTGATTCATGATCTCAACCAAAAACTTAACAATCTCCACAACCCCCATACTGATAATTATGAAAGTATTATCCATGTAACGGAAATAAAAGTTAGGCTTATTATTTTTATCTATGTAATCTATTGTAATGTTATCGTCCAATATTATCACTGACTCATAAACTGCCTTAATCGACTTGATAATTTCATATATGCATATAAATATTATTGTATATTGGAGTAAAGCTTGATGAGGATCAAATCGCAAAGAATATTATTTGATTGTATTTATTGTCCTAACTTAGCTTTCTGTTATTACTGCTATATAAATGTAGTTTTTAATGTCTCTCAAATCATATTCTGAACTCACTGAGCATTTTAGTTAGAAGGTTGAATTTGATTAAGAATTATCTATGGATATCTTTAAAGCCGATCTCATATTGCTCATTTGCAGAATACTGTATGATTTTGTTTCGTATAATAAAAACAGACGATATCAAATACCTGTTTTTCCTAAGTGCCTGAGAAATATATGTCTATCTACTCTGGTATTCCATCATCGACCTCGTAAATGCATGAATTGTCAACTGATTCAAAGTTTTTCAACACAGACAGAAATTGACCAACTCCACACAAATACTCAATTGGAAATTCTCATCAAGCGAACATGTTACTTCATCACAGTCTTTGACAAAATTTTCAAGTAACTTAAACCAACCTCTCTCAGTTATCACTATCAATATACTGATACAACTCTACTACGCAATCGCTTCCGTCAGAAGAACACAAATATCAATTAAATGATATTTACGAAATAACGATTTATTATTGCTTTGTTCATTCAATGGTGTTGGGGTAATTCTCCTATACTGTTAAGAACTTACGGTAAATTGACCTCTACACTGACAGATGCAGATAGTTCCTTTAGAGATAGAACTACAACCAATAAAATTAAACACAAGTTTAAGAAATTTCTATAAAAGATTAAAGACAGGATAACCATCAACGAAGACTTCTTCGGACATTTAAGACCATCAAGTTATTCTACGCATGGTTGTATGACATACTGAAGGTAAAATGAAAAGTTTTCCTCTTTATCTTAGAATGAATACCAATGACTTTTCCTACCAAATAATTTTTAAATAGTTGATTGGAGTCCTAGAACTGATCAAAAAACAGATTAGATGACACGGCTTTTCCGATTCTTTCGATTTTGTACATCCAACAATCTAGAAAAAAATGATATCAGTTAATATTTCGGCTTTGTTCAAAAATGTTCCTTTCACAAGAACAATTTACTTCTGATATGACCAAAGTAAAAACAGAAAATTCGATATAATCATCCTAGATTATTACTTAAAAAGCGATACCTACTCTCATTATCCCTACAGACAGATTGATGACGTTGCAATTATATGTCTACTAGATCCTAGTTTAGAAGATTAATTTCTGACCAACCTGGACAATAATCTCTGGACAACAAACAATAGGCTTCATTTTTATCAGTAACTTCAAATGTAAATTCAATTAAAATCACTTTATGAAGAAAAGAAGAAAAAACGCTTATCCATTTCAACTGTTTTCATAATAACCATCGGTATAAATGGATACAAGAAAAAACACTGTTTATCTTAAAATATATAATATGGAAATACTTCTAATTACATACTGATTGCACCTATAAAAAAAAACACAACAACAAACAATAGAAGAAACTATACACAATGGACGTTTTCTGCAATTTTTTTAATTATTATTTTATTCTATAGAAATATCTTTTGGAACCTAAATTTCATTTATTGACTCATTTATAATTGAATATTCTGTTTTATTGTTGATTTTACAAATGTGTCATAAATTCAAGGTGAAATAGTACATTTTTTACAAATTTTAATTAAACAATTATTTATGACTGTGTAATGTATCATAATCAAATAAGTTTACTGATGTGTACTTTAAAGCAGAATGATTATATATGTATATATATATATATAAAGCTTTGGTGTAATTGTAATGTAATAGTCATTCCAACTTCTACTTCTTTATATATTACTAACAGTGAAATTAGTATTAGAAGTAGTAATATTTACTAAAGAAAAGATATGACACAATTGAAAAGAAAATATGTGTATATTATATTTTGTGTTTCCATAATTTCATTATTTTATTTAAAATTAATTTATTACCATTAAAATTAAAAAATAATGATTGTGTATTAAATTGATGAATTTGAATTCATTAAATAGACCATTAAAATAGAAAAGAGCAATACAATCATTCATGATGATAATAATAACGATAATATTAATTCTGTACATGATTTATGAGTCAAGTTGTATTCATTTGAAGTGTAATGATCTTTTTTTATCAATTTCATAATGATATAACGGGGAAAGTGTTACATTAGAGATTCCAAATCATGAAGGATTTTTTTAACCGATTAAACATTATTATTATTATTAATGGTCACATTAATAGTGATTGAAATGCTCATGTGTTTTTTTGTGTGAAGAGAATAAATCTTCAGAAAACTATGATTTCTGATGTTTATTTTGATTAAAGTTTCTTTTGTCATTATTCATAGATGTAGTTAAGTGATTGGAAAAGTTTGGATTGGCATGATATTTTAAATTATATTTCATATTCAGATTTTCTTCATTAAATGTAGAGTGATCTAAAGGTGATGGTTCATTTACTTTGGGAATACTGAACCCTTTCGATGTAGGTGATCCTAAAGGAAAATCATCATTATTAAGGGAGTAGGTTCTTTTGTTATTACTTGTCGATTGACTTATAGTTGAAGTATGAGATACTCCGTCTTGGTTATCATTACAGGATGAATTTAACAATTCAAACCATATGCATTAAGAAAAGAAGAATGTTGTGGACTAATCATTTGCGTAGGTGATATATTAAGTGGGTTGGATTGGTGATATTTCTGAAACCAATCTTGTTGATGCTCAAGCGATTTAGACATTAAGTTTAATAAATTCAGATCATTTAATTGTGGTTGTTTGCAAGAATTACTATCTTTATTCAGATTAATTGAGGTTGATGATATTTTCTGAGTATTTGTATAATCGATTCCCATAGATGTATTATTACCATTACTAACTTCAAAATTATCTCTAATAGTATTGGTAGGACAATTGTGATTGGTAGTAATTGGAATAGAGAAATTTACAGTTCGTTTTTGTTCATTATCCATTTCTGATTGATAGTTTTGTTCTAATGGCAAATGATTTGATTCTGGCCTAGTCATATTTACATCATCTGATGAAAAACAATCGTCTCCACTCATACTTTCACTTCCTAAATCTGTATGATCATAATCACCACTAGCTAGTTGTACAGCATTAGTAGTTAGATTAGATGTTGGATTTTCTGTAAACAGATTAGATCTACTTGACATCATTTCAGCTGCATTCTTTTTTCTCCATTTTGTCCGTCTATTTTGAAACCATACCTTGAAAAATAAATAAAAAAATTGCGCATTTTGATTTTAGGATAATTTTATGATAGAAAATATTTAGAAGAAATTGATTTCGATGTTCTACCAACCAGTTTGGTCAAAGCTTATTGATAAATAATATAAGAATTATCCATCAATTATTTCGAAACATACTGCATATTCAGTTACGTATAGATCCATTTCTGCTTTTCCACTATGGACTAATGAAACTGGAAGGCGAGCAAATTATCATGTTCGTTACTGTTAAAGTAAAATTAAGTATAAATTGTAGTCAATATGACTCAAATGAATAGTTTTTTAGAAATTTAATTCATGGTAAGCAAACTTGATGAAGTAGATTACTTAATATATATCTGTTTTTTTCACTGGTGCTCCTATTTCGCATAGAAGTTATTATGTATTATTATTTTCAAAAAAAAACTTATCCTATTTGAGTGGATACTATATCTATCGTCAATTAACTTTCTAATATTAAGAATTTCTTAGCCATGACATTCAATTTTATAAACATATAAGTTAGAGGGAATTCACAAATTAAACTTATAAGAATCTTATGAAATATATTCATGTTTCTATAAGTTATTTATTTCTACTAAATGGAGAATTAGAATAACTATTTAAATATTTATCTAATTGTTAAATAATTCTGTAGTTAGCTATATTCTATCGTTGTAAAGATATTTAAGTGATTTAATCGTTTTAATATGCAATAATGTACTTTACTGTTACGTTTAGTGATATTTTGTTTCATTGAAATAAATTATGTTGCATTCAATAGTATTTATATGTAAGAAAAGACTTAAATCTTGTAAAAAATAAATAATTATAATCACTTTATTTATGATGCCTATTAAATGAGTAAATACCAAACTATAAGGGATTAAATATGTTCTTAGTAAAGTTCTGTTTATAAACAATAAGTATATTTATGTATCCTAGAAGGCATAGATTCTCTAATTATTTGATTACATAATCATAATTTTACCTTTAGTCAGTTAGTAAACGAAATATAACAATAAATTTGAAAAAATACATCGATGTTGATGTTTATTACTTTTAAAGAATCAAGTTTTCAGCTATTATTTCTGTAAAAAAAATGTACGAGGTGTAACATTCATAGTGACATTTTTTGATATTATAGTCTGAAAAAAGTTGTGAATCATTTACGTCAGCCTTCTATTTGGAAATATCTGAAATGTAAGATGTATTATCTTTTTTTAATCTCTTAACCAAACGGTTCTCTTATTTTCGCTTATAAGGATTTAAACCTTCCCGCTCTTGATATTAAGAACCATAATCAATCAATCCATTTCGGGATAAACGTATCCTGAGGGAACCTGTACGATATTGTTATCAAGTCATAAGATTTGTAAGTGAAGTCCAACAGTGTATAGTAATGGAACCACTTGGACACATGTTTTACCTTATTAAGAACTCCTCTGTTGGATGTACCATCACCGTGATGTTTGTATTCATACTAAGACTTCAATCTAATAACTATCACTTCATATACACAATGCGTTATTCACTGAGAATCCTTTAGTGGAACAATTTAATTGTTCTGTTTTTTTTATATCACATTTTGCTTGATAAGCCCACTCCTAATCATACATCATTTATTAGCGTAAACAAGGTCAACACTTTTCAGTTTTTGGTTTCTTTATTTAGAAACATCTTTTGTGTCCATTAATAAATTTGAGCACGCATAGCCTGAAAATAGGGTGTGAACTAGTCTTAATTATGTTTTACGGCAATAGTTATAAAAATAATAATAATAACAGATAACATTAATGTTAATATAGGAGAGAATAATAAAGCCGACTGGAACATTTATTTCATTAATTTAATAAAATACAGGTCATTTTTAACAAAAGATGACAATAAGGATGTATATATATATTTTAAATTTATGTCAGAATATTTTTAATCTTCTATATTCTATGAAGGTGTGCTCATTATCAACACCATTACCTGTACAAAAGAAAGAAACGCTAATCCTATATATAATCATGTTTAATTTATATGAAATCAATCTGTCCTTTTAACTATAATTGAAAGACTGAAATTTAAAAAAAAATTGCTGCTCAAATCTTATAACCAGTGTTTGTCTGAACATTATATATATATATATATATATATATATATATATATATGTCTGTGTTATATGAGATATAGAAAGTTGCTGAACAAAACAAAGACAAAAGAGGAACGCTTTTCTTTTTATTTCTTTTTCTTATTTGTTACCATTATTTGCGTATTTTTTTCCTTCTTTTTTATTGTTCTGTCAACGTTCAAAGAAAACTTGAAATAAATGTCATATAAACCAATAAATTAATTCGTACACTTAATAAATTGAATATAATATTACTATCACTATTATTATTATTATCAATGTGGAATATTTTTAATCATGAATAGATATAAACCATTATAGTCGATATTATTATTATTACTATAACCAGTTATTATTATTACTGTCATTATTATTATTAAATCAGAATAAATGAACAATTATAAAATCTCTTGTATACATGAATACATTTGATTAATGGCTTTATTCTTCTTTTTTCTCCCTTTAAAAATCAACTCTTTTTTCCATCTGTTTACTTGTTAAATTATTTTATTTTTCACAAGTGAATATATTTTTGGTGCTTTCATGTAAAATGCACTTTGTTTACTTTTTTTTCAATGGTTGAGATCATGAGTCATATGCTCATGAGATATATGCTCACTAGTGACTGGCTTCACGAGGTATTTATAAACTGCGTCTATAACTTATACATGAAAATGGCTATAGGGTTTGAACTAATTCTATAAAACAGTGGCCAGTGGAGTTCAACCAGGTCTGTTGTGAGATAGTAACGCACGAGAGACAATGATAGATGTGTTGCTCAATTCGGTGGATTAGTTGAATTTAGACATTAACACCATTGGATGCTGGCCATCTCAATAATTTAGAGGTTAGGCGCTCGCGCGCGAGTCTGATAGTTCCTTGTTTCGAATCTCGCGAGCAGGGTTCGTAGATGTGCACTGCTGAGGAGCCCCACGATCGAACAAAATGATCGTCCAGTGCTTCCAGGTTTTCCATGGTGGTCTACCCTCAATTGACTCATGATCTCAACTATTAAAATTACTACAGTATCCACAAAATCCCCTTTTGATATTTTTTTGTTTGTAATAATATTTTCAGGAGATGAATTGAATGACTCAGTAAATATGTCACTTAACTAGTAGCATCTATTTTTTGAGTTCTTACTGAGAAGGATAAACAAATTTGACTGTTGGTATAGGTTGTAGAGATTGTTTGATTTCATTGAAATCACGAAAAGATTTACGTTAAATTCGAAAGAACTGGACAATGGTTTCATCCTAGTATTGAACTTATGATCAGAAAGTATTCACTAACTTGCAATCGGAAATCATACTCAAAACCTTGAACACCGATCTTAAATACTTGACGGCTAGACCGCAAAAGAATCCATCTAGTGACTCTACGTTTTTAATGATGACCTACCAAGATCAGTTTGTGATTCAAACTGTAATAATTCTACAACATTCATAACTGCACTTAAATTTATAATCTTTTTCATTAAGTCTTGATTTGTGCAAGTAATGTTTAATAATGTGGTAATCTAACTAATTAAAAAGCGCTTAACTCAGTGATGTTCTTAAACAAATTTGATTTGTTCAACGCAATTACAAAGGGTTTTAAGATTGGAGTACATATTTTTTACAGGGATTGGGGCCTAGGAGCATGAAAGACAACTGTCATAAATTATTTTTACGACTGTCATCATACTGACATTCTTATTTGGTTGAGAAGTTTGCGGACATAAATTTGATTTAAAAACAGCTGTCGACTGTGCCTAACATCAAACCTAAGAATAATCTACAATGGAGGAGCCTTTGTCTTGTTTTGTTCATATTTGCAATTCGATAGATGAATATATATAATAACCACAATAATTATTACGTCTCTAACCATGACTGTAGACGTTATACGACCACTGAATTACGAGGGAATTATCATGCAGACACCAAATCAAACGTTATGTCGTGAATGTATTAATCATAAAACTCAACGAATACTTTGTAAAAAAATAAGATTCGTCCATTATTTATGTTTGACAATTTTATTCTTATTCACTTCCTTAAAAAGATTTCAATTAAGATCGGTAGATAAAAAAGACGGAGAATCATTAGATTATAAATTTCATGTAAGCATTTTCCTTTACTATTGTAAAGAGACTAAAAACAATGATTTAGGACTGCTGAAATCTTCACTCTTTCTCTCTCTCTCACTGGAAATCTTTTAACGAGTATAATCTGTCTTTCAAATCTTCAGGTCGTCTTATTTGCTTTTTTACTGGTTTTATTTTTTTGTCACTTAATCGTATTTTATAGAACATGAGAATTTCATATCAGAGTTAGATTAACTGTAATGGTTAATCTTAAACATATAAATAGTCAGAAGGGGTTTGTGGAGATTTTTAGAAATTTTCATAGATTGAAATCATGAGTCAGTTGAAGCTAGACCACCAGTGAAAGCCTGGAAGCACTGGACGGCCGTTTCGTCCTAGTATGGGACTCCTCAGCAGTGCGCATCCACGATCCCGCACCACACGGGGCTCGAACCCAGGACCTACTGGCTTCGCGCGCGAGCACTTAACCATTAGACCACTGAGCCGGCATCCAACGGTGTTAATGTCTAACTTCAACCAATCCACGAAGTTGCGCCACCATATACCATTGGAGTTCTAGTGGGAAGCCGTTACCAGTGGAGTACAACCAGGTCTGTTGTGAGATATCAGCTCACTGTAGACAATGGTATATAAATAGTCCCCAGTTATAAGATAGTTATTCATTAACATATATCTTATATAACTCCGCCTGTAGCCCTTCTAGAGTTACTGACGGTTCCAAGCTCGGGCAAAGGAGGAGGGTTGGGCATGGGGTTGGTGATCCCATCCTGTAGAAAACTAACTCGCTAAAAA